CACGATTTAACACCAGGCCAGAAGAATGAGGTGTCTGAGATGATGTTCCGGAACCAAGATGTGTTCTCGACAAAACCGGGTCGAACAACCGAGACATATCACCACATCGTCACGAACCCTGGGGCCAGAGTAATAATGAGGCTCTATCGGGTGCCAGCGGCAAAAAGGGAGGAAATAAAAGCAGAAGTAAAAAAAATGCTGGAGTTGGGGATCATCGAATAATCCCACAGTCAATGGTCCAGCCCAATCGTGCAGGTGCCCAAACCTGATGGCACTACAAGATTTTGCAATGACTTCCGGCGACTAAACGAAGTATCCCAGTTCGACACGTACCCCATACCTCGCATAGATGAGCTAGTGGACCGTCTGGGTAACGCCTGGTACTTGACTACCCTAGACTTGACAAAGGGGTACTGGCAGATTCCCCTTACAGAAGACGCAAAGGAAAAGACCGTGTTCTCTACACCAGAGGGTCTTTTTCAATACACTGTCCTCCCTTTTGGACTACATGGGGCCCCAGCTACCTTCCAGTGCCTCATGGACAAGCTATTACGCCCACATAACAGTTATGCTGCTGCCTACTTGGACGATGTGGTCATTCATACCCCAGACTGGGAAACCCACCTGGAGAAGGTGGAGGCAGTCCTCGATACCTTCAGGCGAGCTGGCCTTACAGCAAACCCTGCCAAGTGCGCTGTAGGGTTTACAGAGGCCAAATATCTTGGCTACATTGTGGGAAAAGGTTTGGTAAAACCCCAAGTGAACAAGTTAGAGGCCATCCAAAACTGGCCCCGACCAAGTCGCAAGAAACAAGTCCAGGCGTTCCTAGGTGTGGTGGGGTATTACCGACGATTTATCCCCCACTTTGCCACAAGGGCAAGCCCCCTGACAGACCTAGTGAAAGCCCATGGACCTGATCTGATGAGATGGTCTGACGCAGCAGAGGAAGCATTCACAGACCTACAGACTGCCCTCTGCAGTAACCCTGTACTGATAGCCCCTGATTTCACCAAGGAGTTTATCCTGCAGACTGTTGCATTGGAAGTAGGGTTGGGGGCCATTCTATCACAGATGGTCGGGGAGGAGGAACTCCCAACTCTATACCTCAGTCGGAAATGCCTTCCAAGGGAACAAAAATATGCAGTGGTGGAGAGAGAATGCCTCGCTGTAAAATGGGCCATGGAAACATTGTGCTACGACCTGCTCGGGCGCAGCTTTGTCCTCGTGACCAACCATGCCCCTCTTCAATGGATGCAGCGGAACAAGGAGAAGAAAACAAGGGTGACCAGATGGTTCTTATCCCTCCAACCTTTCCAGTTCCGTGTGCAACACAGAGCAGGGAGCCGTCATGGCAACGCCGATGGCTTATCATGTGTGCACTGTCTTGCATCCCAAGCTGCCCAACCCCTTGGCGTTGAGCAGGGGGGAAGGATATGTGACAGACCCAGACCAATGGGGTACAGGAGTCTGGTAGAGGGCAAATATATTGGTCACTGTATGAGTAGTTTTCTGTTCCCTGAGTGACCAGAGCAGGGGCTGCACTAGAGTAATCAGGAACCTGCTAGAACCAGTTCAGGCAGACTAATTAGGACATCTGGAGCCAATTAAGAAGAAGCTGCTAGAATCAATTAAGGCAGACTAATCAGGGCACCTGGGTTTTTAAAAAGGAGCTCACTTCAGTTTGTGGTGCGAGTGTGAAGAGCTGGTAGCAAGAGGCGCAAGGAGCTGAGAATGAGAGGGTGTGCTGCTGGAGGACTGAGGAGCACAAGCGTTATCAGACACCAGGAGGAAGGTCCTGTGGTGAGAATAAGGAAGGTGTTTGGAGGAGGCCATGGGGAAGTAGCCCAGGGAGTTGTAGCTGTCATGCAGCTGTTACAGGAGGCACTATAGATAGCTGCCGTCTACAGGGCCCTGGGCTGGAACCCGGAGTAGAGGGCAGGCCCAATTGACCTGGACTGTGGGTTCTTCCAGAGGGGAAGGTCTCTGGGCTGTTCCCCAACCCACATGGTGAATCTCTGAGGCAAGAAAACTGCCAATAAGCGCAGAACCCACCAAGATAGAGGAGGAACTTTGTCACAGTATGAAATTTAATAAAGGCACCCCAAATCCAGAGATGGTTACCTTACTAATTTTAATGATAGGATCATCTCAGGACAACTTTTACCTTGGACAGTTCTTCTCAAATCAGGACATTTTGCTATTCTTAAGTAAACAGTTTTATTAATTCACCATCAAGTCTATGTGTATACAATCAACCATTTAAAGAAGGCTTGTAGATTAAGTTTGGATGCTAGCAGTTCCAGGCACATACTGAATACAACATACAGATGCGAAAGCAATTGACATAGGCTAATGCTGGGGCCAAGCACAGAACAATCAAATTGTCTACAGTTCTTTCTTACAACAGTTACTTTATAATAATCAGTTATCAACAATTCTTTTGAACTTCTAATACAATTAATATATATAATATAACTCTTAAAGGAATGAAAGTTGCACTTTGTCTCCTGCTTTTGATGAATATGCTTAATTCCTGCAGATTAGTTTGAGAGGGACTAGTTTAAAACATCAGAAGGAATCACATAAAAATAGACCTACATGGGAATGGAATTTTCCATTTCATAATAAATCTTGTAAGAGTTCAGAAAAGGTAGGTGGTTTTCCTGGCTGCTCAGGGGGTTCCCAGGCAGTCAACCATACAAGTTGCTTCAGAACCAGGAGTCCCTGAGACCCTGATAGCTCACCTACCATTTATCTGGCTGGTGGGTGACCTAGTTTTTGACCTATGTGTCTGCTAGCATAGAAAATGGCAATGGAATTAATACATACCTGCAGAACATTGGTGCTGACTATGTAGGTGCTCTGGGGCTGGAGCATCCATGGAAAAAAAATAGTGGGTGCTCAGCACCCAACGGTGGCCCTGCCGATCACCTCCTCCCCCTCCCCCCAGCGCCTCCTGCCTGCTGGCAACCCCATCAATTAGCTCCTCCCCCTTCCTCCCACTGCTCCTCTCTGCCATGATCAGCTGTTCAGTGGCATGCAGAATGCACTGGGGGGAGGGAGAGGAGCAAGGGCAGGGCACGCTCAGGGGAGGGGGTGGAATGGGGTGGGAAGAGGGGGGACAGGGGTCGAGTGGGAGCGAGGTCTGGAGAGCTGGGATCAAGCACCCCTGGGCAAATGAGGAAGCCAGCACCTATGCTGCAGAACACCTTGATTCCTTAGAACCAGCATTTTCTGATAGAACTCTGTGCTGACCTACCCTGCCTAAAAGTTATTCTTTGAGATTTCCCTTCAGCCAACCAGTTTGGACATGTAAAGAATAAACCAGCATGTAGCATTACTCAATCAAAATCCTAAAATTCAGTTCTTCTAGGGGTAGCTAGAGAGCACAGACTCAGTGCAGCTAACTTTGCAGGTACTTATATTTAATAGAGCAAAGAGAAATACAGTCTCTTGCCACTTCCTCTTAGTCCTGGTAACCATGGGAGGAGGAGAGAGGTTGTCCACACTGGCTGGTCTGAAGTATCCAGTCACATTTTTGGGGATGAGCAGCTCTTTGGTGCATTCAGGACCTCAGACGTTCCACTCAATGGTCCCATGTTTCATGCCCTTTCCTGCGGTCTTTGGAGAATGGTTATCATCTTATTTTTAAATTAAACTTACCATTGTTCTCTCACATTACTACTCCTCCAGTTTCTCTGCTATTTCCTTCAGTAGCTGGAAGAAGGCATTCATGGCACTTATTGGATATTTTTCTTGTCAGAATTTTTTTTTTAGATTTTATTCATTTCAGAGATTGTATTTCTCTATTAGCCCCCATTATTATTTAGAATTTCCCCTTTTAAGTAATTCCTCTGAATAGTCGAAAGCCATACATATTAAGTATTTACATCTTTCACTGTTTGCTGTTTTTCTTCTTCTTCTGTACAATTCATAGACAAGTTTTTTACATTCTTTGATACATTTCCTTTCACCTTCTCTAGGGGTTTACAACAAAATAAAAGACATACTATTGGAGGAATAAAACAGATTAGTCACATGTAGAGAGATGGTATATCAGATTCATAAGGCAGACATGAGTACAAGTTTTTGGGATTTAATTTGTGGTGAAAGGCAGGTGGTTCATATTCTGGGGGTATTAAGACCTTCATTCTTCAGTTTTTTGGGGATGAACAACGAGGGTTCTTGTTTTTTGTTTTGTTTTCCCTAGTTAGTTCAATCATGCAGTTTCCACTCATATATCTGGAACATGATTCAATCAGTGGATACAACGGGCCAATCTGTTTAGGAAATAAGGTTTTTATCCTTATTTTTCAATTTTCCAGGCGGGAGCTTCAGCTAGCAATTTCAAATTTGGGGGATTCCTTAGACAATGTGATTCATACCTTGGGATGTGGATTGATGTTCTCCTATAGTTTTAATTTTCTAGCTGGAGTTAGAAGTGGCGAGGCATGATTTTGGGGTAAACAGAGGTGTGTGTAAGATTTTCCTGTGGCACTGAGAGGAAAATTAATTTGGATTTTACCCTTGCAAACTACAATGGCATGTGGTTATTAACAATCTATCCAAGGGATAGTCAACATCTACATACATCATGCCAGCTTCCATCCAAGTAGACCATGGAATGACCACGACCATAATCAAGGCTGAAGATGAGCTGAATGGCTTCCTATTAGGCACCGCATATCACCGATGGACTGATTGTGTCTTTGAGGCACAGACCTGAATGGGCTGGGTGCAGAGCTATCTATCCCATCTCAGGAGGAGCCCTATGAGACAATTTTTCCTGCAGCGACTTTGCTACCTGTTTGGAGATGAAGACTGCTCTGTGCAGCCATTCACTTCTGCACCTTGTCTGCTTTGGGGAGTGCCGGGGTGGCTGACGGGATTTGCAAGGGTGCTGGAATTGTGGCTGGCTCAGAAGCGGGAACCACAGTTTCCATGCAACCTAGACAGGACGTTAGAATGTGGTTCAGATTATGTGCCTGATCAGGGAAATCGGAGGGAGTAGAAACCCCCTTTACACTCCAACATGGGCTACCCAGACCTTGGAGTAGGATACCTAGGAGTAACTGAGGCTATTTGCTCACAAATTGCCTTTCTGGAGCACGGGGGAGTTAGGGGACTAGGCACAACCTGGGTTTCACCCTTTGGTGGCTGAGCACAGTGACCGGGGGAGTGCAGCAGTGTGAGTGTAGCAGTCTATTCCTGGTGCAGGAATCTTATGCACCCCCACTTCAGGGCTGCACATAAAGTCACAATCTACTGATGCCTGGTGATTTGCGGTGCAATTTCTAATTCCCCAATCAGGAGCTGATGCGTCCCCAATCACCTTTATTATAATTATTATTACTATTAATTACAATTCATTTTCTTTCAGCTTCTTCTCCTGTCGCCAGGGCAATGCATTTATAGCATCATGTATGTTCCTGGCTGCTCTCACAGCAGATTTCATAGAAGTTTCGATCCAGGCATGAGGCTGGGCAGTGTGTTCTCCTGAAAAATGAACCCTCCCTTCATTCTGAAACAAAGCTTTGGAGTAGTCAACAAACTGGTACGGGGTGAATGAAACATATCCTCCCATTGTATATTTGTCCAGGCCCCATTTCTTGATTACGTGTTTATTGCAGACCTTCTGGATATAATTCTTGGGCACCTGGTGGATTTCTGCCAGGTCCTCCAGCACCACATCAACACACTTTTCGTCATCGAGGGGAATGAAGAATTCAGCATCATCCACCCAGGTGTAGGAAGCCAGGATCACCCCTGCCCCACTGGAGAAATTGTGGCTGGGGTAGTAGATGACTCTAGATGGGCGATCAGTGATTGACCTCCCATTATAGATTCCATCCTTCTGCCAAAATTTTTCAGAACAGATCAAGAATATCTTAGTGGCTCTTGCGTAGTGAATGGAGCGCAGGGCATGGGTCTTCTTAGCAGAAAGAGGGGGAGAAAATTTAATGAGCCGTGTGGCTTTTGCCGTAGCTGTGACAAGGACATAGTCGGCCATCACAGATAAGGGGAATGAAGTGTGTGGTCTGCGGTAAAACACTTTCACTTGGTCATTGTCTTGTAGTATCTTCACTACCGGGGAGTTAAATATAACGCTCCTGTGAATATCCTGGTAGAAAGCTTGCGGAAGCTGATCGAATCCCCCTGTGATCTCATCATAACTGAAAGAAAGGTGGGGGAAAGATGATAGTCAAACAGTTACAGCATCTGACCACAGTTATCTGAGAGAATGTCACAAGAGTAATAGGCAGAGCTTGCATAATAGGAGAGAGAATCTAGCCACTAGTGACTGTACAACTCTACCTTGTTTTATTAGAGCGGAATGCTAGGTCTGTGGTAATTAAGCTTAAGGCCAGCTTTCAGTTTAAAGCTTGTTTCTTCTAAACGCTCTAAAATCCCCATGGTTCTCAGATTGCCTTGGAAGTAGGTGTGCCTCATGGAGGTGCTGGGTGGAATTAGTGAGCCATGATTTGAGATCATTTGACCAAGGGCTTCCTGAAATATGACACAGCTACGGTCCAATATACCCTTAACACATACTCGCACTATGGAGTTAATTATTGAATGCCATCCCATCAGAACTCACTCAGTTAGAAGCTGTGGACACTTTCAGTAATGCCAAGCTCATCTCCAGTGAAAGTGTCCCCGGCCTTCCGTGGCTATAAATCTATAGTAATGAGCACCTACCCTCTATGACAATTCAGACCATCAGTGCCTACTTCAGAGAAGGCAGCCAGCTGTACTGTTAGCTGAGATGACAAATGGATGAGATAGTAGGAGGTTGACAGACAGATGGATGTACTGAATAACCATAGACACATTGTGCTTCCACATACAAAGCAAGTAAATAAAGATGCTTTTCTACTCACCTCTTCTCAGAGAAGGTGGAAAAGACCATGACAGAGTAAAGAAATGACATGTGGAATACACCATCTTCATTCATCACGTCACCAATCATGTCAATGGCTCCTCTACTTAAATTTCCTTCTTTAATCAAATACTCCTGGGTGGGGAAGAACGGAGATGGTAGAAGACGCATGCATATTATATCCTCATTGAGAAATGACAGTCAAAGGGATATTTCATTTCAAATGAACACAGGAATTATTCAATATCAATGAAGCAGGGGAGGTGGCAAACCCATTCACTACCCTCCAGTGTGATTTGTCTTCTTCCTCATTACCAGCCATTGAAGTAATGCTGATGCTCACATTCAAGACCCAATCCCTCATCCCTTTTGAGTCACCAGGTTAAAGCCTGACCCGAGTGAAGTCAATCAGAGCTTTGCTATTGACTTCAATGTGGCCAGGATTTCACCCAAAGTGTCCCTACTAAGATATCATTGTCTTTGGTTAAAGAACTATGGTCCAGACCAAAATCTCCTGTGGGGTAAAAATAATGATTGGTAGGGCCACAGAGGAAGGTTATCTCATAGAAATAATTGTGGATGAAGATTCATAGCTGGATGTCACACAGCGAGCTGAGATAGGAAGAAGAGATGCCAAGTTGGTTGCACAGGACTGGAATAGGGTTGTGTCTTCATGACACACACACTGGGAGTATGGGAGCACTGAGACTGCTCCCTTTCTATTTGTTGGAGTTTTGGGTAGGGAAAAACAGAGATAACATGGATCCACGTCCTTGCCCTCCCCGTGCCACAAATCAGAGCCAGGAAGACCCAAGGGGGAAGTATGCGGTGTCCCAGGAAGACTCATGAAGTGAGCATGCAAACTCTGCCCGGCCAGAATCTTTAGGAGGGTTCAGATGCATTATCTCCTACCATGGACTGTGTAGACCTGGCAAGATCTATCCCACAAGGAGTTCCATGGCTAATGTGAGGAAAGATTTAGAAAGTCGGCACCTTTAGATTTAAAGATACTGGAATGCCAACTTCAATTACCTTTGTGGAAAAGGAATCATATTTCTCTTTCAGAGCACTGCAGTTTGTTGTCACCTGGGGAGCAAACAAGAAAACAGTTGTTTGTTTCATGCTGACGGCTTTACCTTTAAAGTTTATTATTGTCCCTGTATGTGACAATGTACTTATAGGCCATATTCTAGGGCATAGGCACAAGGGAGCAGGACATGACATGACTGCCCAGGTGAAAGAGCTGTTAACAAAATCTTTTTAATAGTGCTCTTGTTTTCTGCTCCTACAATTCTCCAGCTGACTGAACTGCTTTCATTGAGACAGTCTAAACAACAAAAATAAATAGACTAAATGTAAAATTTTCAAAAGTGAATATAGGGCCTAACTCCCATTTCCAGAAGTGACTTAGGTACTTAAGGGCCAGATTTTCAAAGATATTTAGACATCTAAAGATGCAGATAGGCAGCTACATGGATTTCCAAAAGTGCCTAAATCAAATGGAATATTATGGGCTAGATTCACAATGGGACTTAGGAGTTGCAACACTCAGCATCACAATGCCTAACTTTCTTTGCCTGGAAAACTGCTGGGATTCACAAAACCTGAGTCATGTGCTCAGGCGCTCTACAATGAATAGCATGCTCTAAGCGCTGCAGAACAGAATCCACAAAAGCCAGCACACGGAACCACCTAAGCCAGCCAATGGGAGACACCAAGGAAAGGGATGTGTCTTAAGCCCTCACCCTCCCCCCCATTTTAGGGAGTTCAGCACCTATCTCTGCTTTGGATTCTAAGCCGTGAGCTCTTCCCACCTACAGCATTTCTAGCAAGCAGCACAGTACAGCCCTCATAGCTTTTACCCCAGTGGTTAGGGGATTTCCACAATGTGGGAGACCACCAGTTCATGTTCCCCTTCTAGCTGATAAGGAGGAGTCTCCCACCTCACCTCATGGGGGCCTCCCTTAGTCTCTCCTGTTAAAGCTGTTCCAGCTTGGATAAATAATCAGTGAAGCAGGGGGATTGGATTCGGAGTCTCCCACATGAATGTCCTACCCACTAGACCAGTGGTTCTTAACTTTTCCAGACTACTGTACCCATAGGTGCTGTGGGTGCTGCTGCACTCCCTGGCCGGGTTTACAGTTTGGTTCAATGGCTCTCAGCACCCCCACTATACGAATTGTCCCAGCAACCCTGACTGTACCCCTTGCAGGAGGCTGATTTGTCTTGCATACCCTCAAGTTTCACCTCGCTTGAAAACAGCTTGCTTACAAAATCAGACCTAAAAATACAAAAGTGTCACAGCCACTATTACTGAACAATTGCTGACTTTCTCATTTTTACCCTCTAGTTATAAAATAAATCAACTGGAATATAAATATTACACTTACATTTCAGTGTGCAGTACATAGAGCAGTATAAACAAGTCACTGTCTGTATGAAATTTTAGTTTGTTCTGACTTCGCTAGTGCTTTTTATGTAGCCTGTTGTAAAACTAGGCAAATATCTAGATGAGTTGATGTACCCTCCGGAAGACCTCTGCTTCCCCCCAGGGGTACATGTACCTAGAGTGACCAGATAGCAAGTGTGAAAAATTGGGACGGGGATGGGGGTAATAGGCGCCTGTATAAGACAAAGCCCCAAATGTCAGGACTGTCCCTATAAAATTGGGACGACATCTGATCACCATCCACATACCCCTGGTTGAGAACCACTGCACTAGACTATAGAGTCATTCTCACTCTATCGCTCTGGTGGCATCTATGTCCCTTTCTGAATCTAGCCCCAGGTGCCTCTCTGCATTCTTTAGACGGTAAATACCTTTGAAAATCTGTCCTTTAAGAGTATGTCTACACTGCAATAAAACACCAGCAACTGGCCCGTGTCAGTTGACTCGGGCTCACGGAGTTCAGGTTGCTGGGCTATAAAATTGCGGTGTAGATTTTTGGGCTTGGGCTGGAGCCTGGGCTCTGGGAACACATAATGTGGGAGGGTTCCCAGAGCTCAGGCTCCAGCTCAAGCCCAAAAATCTACACTGCAATTTTATATCCCCATTAGCCCAAGTCAGCAGACACTGGTGTTTTATTGCAGTGTAGACACACCCTGAGAGCCTAAGTCTCATGCGTACAACTATAATTTAGCAATTTTGTGTGTGTAAATCGACAAAGAAAACTAGAAAAACTCTCAGAAGCGAGAAGCCATCACCTATTCAAATGAACAGTTCTCTAACAGTGGTTAACTTCAAATTTTCAACAACCAAAAAAATCTGCATCTGGTTAGCCTACCACGGGCATGAGCTGCCACACTGCGAAGACAAGGGACTGTCCCTTCTATGGTGCTACGTTGACTCATGTGTGTCGCTAGGACTTCCAGAGGCACGTTCCATGGTTCTCTATGGTGCAGTGGGCAAAGCCACTTTATATTTCATCCCTGGAATTTGTTTGTCTTCCTGAGCACCACCACCCAGGGGGAATTGTGGGAAGGCACTGGAGGCCTATCAGCACTCAAGGATTTTGTGGATACAGACTAACACGGCTGCTACTCTGAAACCAAGGATTTTATCCTCCATCTTCACTGCACAGTGGGCAGGGCCGGCTCCAGGCACCAGCTTAACAAGCAGGTGCTTGGGACGGCGAAGGGAGAGGGGTGGCACGTGCGGCAATTCGGGGGCAGCAGGTCCCTCACTCCCTCTAGGAGCGAAGGACCTGCCGCTGAACTGCCGCCGCCGCCGATCGCGGAGTGCAAGTGAAAGCAAAGTCCAGGCTCCAATGTGCCAGTGAGACTGGGCTGAAAAGACCACTAAGTTTTAGGGGTTTAGGGCCAACACCCAAGCGAGAATCCAAGTTAACTCTTTAGTGAGAACAAACCGACATTCACGAATCCTTTCCACAACACACATACCTTATCCAGTGTCTGATTATAAAGCTCACTGGCAGATTTTCCTCTTTCCGTGGGAAGCACGGGGTATTGCAAGATATCAGGGTTTCGATCTACCTCTCCAGCTCTTGCCCTGATGTTGTTAACGAAATACCAGCCCTTGTCATTACTATTATAGAACGGGTTCAGTTTCAGTTTCAGTTTTTTAATAAATTCACGCACAAGCCTAAAGAAAAAGGGAAGGGGGAAAAAAGAGAAAATTTCAAAAATGTGAAAGAAAGTTATATGCTTGCATATGATCCTCTAACACAAATGCCACAATCCTACCCATGTAACTGAAATAATTTGTGTGTAATGACTCCAGATCCACACTTTACCAAAAGTCAATCGTGCAACTAGTGTTGGTTACTTTTTTTAATTGTGAAAACTTTTGAAATACGGAAGTTATTTCAGTTTGGCATCATTTGCATCAGACCCATTTTCACAAGCTTTTTAATACAAAATATCAAAAAATGTATTTACTGCAAACCATGTTTTGCAGAAAATGAACCACCTTGGTAACCATTTCAGTAATGATTGTAAGTATGTTTACAATTTTAGTGAATATAAATTTTAGTGAAATGAAAAATTTTCCTCAAAACTAAAAAAAATTTGAAAATTCGCAAAACAGTTTACATTTGGAAAAATGTCATTTTTTTTCAATGAAAACTACTTTTTGTTTGAGAAATTTAGACCATCTCTCCCAACATTGTCTGCTCCCTGAACAGTCCCATTGACTTCCAGGATAACCCATGAGGAAGTATTACTTCTACTAATTGTAAAATCAGACTTTTCCTTGATTATTACAAGAGACATGATAGCAAAAGCTGCCCCTTCCTAAAATTCTTAACAGGAAACAAACAAACAAACAAACAGGCTGGAGATATAGATGCATCTTAACAATGCTCCTAGTTAGTATAAATGCACAGATTGAATTTAGGGACCTGTGGATTTAAAACAAAGCCCACTAGTACTTGAGCTAAAGAACCAGATGGAGCTGTCTGAAGGTAGTAGTAGACTCATATATAGAGCTGATTGGACAAATGTACATTTTATCCTGTGGGAAATGTCAAAATAACAGATTTTGACATTATTTTTACCCCAAAGTGGAATGAAAAATGCCAAACAATGTCTATTCGGAAATGTCAAAACATGTTTGTCTGAGTGGAGTTGTGACCTGGCTCATGGGGTTGCAGGGTCACTCACTCAGATTTGGCCTAACCAGACTCCCGTCGTCATGACAGCTGGGCCAAACCTGAGTGGCACGGGGACACCAGAGGTTGCAGTGTCTGGAGCAGGGAGGTGAGCCCAGCCAGCCCCATGGGACAGGAGCTGCTACTTGACCTTTTGAAACATTTAAAAGTGGTCTGGAACTTCAAGGTACATATACACCTCTTTCCTTTGATAATACACATGGGCGGATTCGGAACCAGATCTCCTCATATCACAACCACAGCTCTATGATGCTCCTGAAACAAATCCTTCGGCATCCTCAGGTCGCAATCACCACTTTTCCAACCTGCTCCAACATATTCCTCCACCATTACGATACAGCTACACCTAACACAGTGAATGCAGCTGGCGTGCATGCAGGTACTACCCAGTAAGTATTGCCAGTTCTAGAGTGGCCAAGTTAAGTTTCTGTGGGCATTTACTTTGACTCTGTATTTTCTGGTTTCTAGATGGTTTGAGTTTTGTGGAACTCAATTTTTTGGGAGGGCATGAGCAATCACAGGCCAACGTCAATGCTGTCTTAAGTTTTTTGCTGTTTAATTATAAAACTTACCCTGAGTCCCATTTTTTTCAATAAGCAACATGGACCCAGAAAATTGGAGGACCTATGTGGTCACCAGCTGGTCAGTCTGAAACCCTGACTAGCTCTAATAAATATTCAGAAAGCCCTTTGAAAAAATCCATAATACAAAACCAGCACATTTTACAAAGAAGGTATGAAAGAAATCGTGGCTGGAAGGTGGCTGGGGTCTCCATGGGGACAGAGCATTGGTAGCTTGGTATTTTATATGATGAGGTCCAAACCTTCCAATATGTGGGGGAGGAGGGTTTGTAAGATCAACCTTAACTGTTGATTTCCTGGGTTATAAAGTGTTGTTGTTTTGCTGACTGAAGTGTTGTAGGTGGAGTTTTGTCCTTCATTTACTGATACATGCTCCCAGTCGTAACTTCACTTTAACGCTCCATTGTGGTGTAGTCCAAGAACATATCTGGGACCTAATTATGACTCTAATATCCAGTTCCCCATTTGCCACGGGGGTGGGGAATTAATCTGGTCCAGCCCTAAAACCTGTGTCTTCTAGGCTGGTTTAGTTACTTGTACCCACCTACTCTCAGCCCACCTATGCAGGAAAAGTGACAACTCCATGGATATTTCTTTCCCCTCTGCACACAGACTGACAGCGTGATGTCATGGAGTAAAGGGGCATTTTAGCCTATTCAAATTTGAGCCTTTAATGAGTTCCCCCGTCCCCCAGGAATTATCACAAAAGTTTTAAAAATAGGGCTTCCCCTATTCTGAACAAGATTAGTGGCTGAGGAGGGTTAACAGTATATTACCTGTGATGTCCTGGCAAACGCATGGCTCCCAACTCCACATACCAATCTTGTTCTCTGTGGGTCATGATGCGTCCTCCCAAACGGTGACTGGCTTCCAGAATGAGAACCTGGGAACGAAATACAGATTATGATTTTCAATCCCTTGCTGGTACCTGGTGACTGTATCAGAGGTTCTAAAACTGGGGGTCATGCATGGGCAGCGGGTATCATAGGCTGGGGTAGGCTGTGCCTCCCCAAACAGCTTGGTGTAGCCCTGCCCACCCTCCACCTCCAGTCCCCCTCCTGCAGTTCCCAGTGCTCTGCCCCAGCCCATGCTGGCTGGGACTGGGGCTCGCTGGCCTGTCATGGGAACTCGGGGTGGCTGGCACTGGGGCCGAGCTGGCTGCCTGGTGCTCGGACTGCGCTGTCCGGTGCTTTGGGGCTGGGGGCACTGCTGCCGCATCACCTGGCCGCCCCAGGGCTGCGTTGGGGGTGCTCTGGGCTCCTGCTGGGGAGGTGGGCAAAAAAGGAGGGGCAGGATCTTGAACAGAAGGGAAGGGGCCGGGGGCTAGCCTCCCCCACTGGCCAGATCACCAGCTGCCCATGGGGTCATGACCCCTCAGGGGGTCGCAAAGTGGTTACATGGGGGTTGCAAGCTGTCAGCTCTGTGGGGCTGACAGCCCCGAGCACCATTAAATTAAATTAACCCCCCATTTTTAATTTATAAGGGGGGGTCACACTCAGAGTCTTGATGTGTGAAAGGGGTCACAAATACAAAGAGTTTGAAAACCTCTACTGTATATTTCTCTCTTGAACGATAACAACTGATTTATCTATTGTCATTTCTATTGCAAACGGTCACCACACAAAGAAAATGCTTATTTTATAAAAGTAATTTTGGACAATTTATGGGCGCACTCTATCCTTGATTTGGGAACCCGTGTAAGCATGTGCTTAAGATGAATCTGAACTCCATGGGACTGAAGGATGTGCTTAAAGTTAAGAATGTACTCAAGCAATCTTCCTGAATAGAGATATATTCCTGAATTGGGCTCTCAAGAAACAGATTCTAATATGGAAGATATTATCCTTTCCCATGTATTACAGAAAACAGGTTTTCAATGAGAGAGTCTTTAATGCAACAACTAAGCCCTTCTCATATAAGTGCCCAAGCGATTTCTGTTGACTTTTGCAGCTCTAGGGGCTGTATTTCTTGGGCGATACTGAGAGGGGAAGTAGCAGATATATGGGCTATGGGTAGGGATAATGGGTTCCAGTCTTTCTCAAGGCCCACAGGCAAGCCAAGAGAGTAGCACCTTCGATGGAAAAACAAAATAAAGAAAAAGAGCAAAGGGCAAAGTTAAGGTTGTTGTGAGATAGTGAATATGAATTTTAACGCGTATAGAATTTTGTTAGAAATACATGAACCTTTGAGAATATTCCCTTAACTAATCACCATTTCCATTAAATGTAGGGATTGGGATTATTTTACCTGCAACATTTTTGGTATTTAAGTTTTCTTATGGCAATGTTATTAATATTCTGGCAACCTTAACTTTAAGTTAATTAACTTTTCCCCCCTGGAAATGGCAATAATATACTGCACTATGCTTTCTTGCTTCCTTCCTTTCACAGTTAGCTTACTTAAGTTCACCTTGTTTTATTCTTCAGTATTGTCTACTCTATGAAAAAGAAGTAATAAGACCGTTTCAAGGGAGCACTTACTCCCTGGCCTATCTCTGGCTCCTCTCAGTTAATAGAATTACCCGTGAGCAGGGGGTGAAGCTTCCTCTTGGGGAGGCTAGTCCCTTGCCCCACCTTTTCTGGTTGAGGCCACGCCCCCAGTCGTTGCTTTCAGCCCCCCGTGTCCCTGGCCAGGAAGGGGGGCTGAGAGCTCAGCCCCTCCCACCCACGGCCCCGGCTGGGATGGGGAGGGGAGCAGCTCAGAGCTCAGCCTCAGCCAGGGTCAAGCTCTCAGCCCCAGCCAGGACTGCCCCTTTCCCTGCAGCCCTGCCCCCGCTGTGCGTCTTCCCCCTGAGGGCCCGCACCCACTCACTCCTTTCCGCACCCTCCCCCCCACTGTGACCCTGAGACCAAAAAAGCTCTGTGCCGCAGCGGGGAGCAAGAGCTTCTCCAGCCCCGGGGTTATGGTGGGGGAAATTTTTCCAGTGGCCCTAAATTGGTTCGGGGTCCCTGGGCACGGGCCCTGTGGACCCATGTGGCAATCCACCACTGCCTTCCCCCCCAGTGATGCGAGGTTTGGGGAGTCTTAGCCTTCCCCAGCATCCATTACATGCTGCCCATGGAATTACCTTACAACCAGCATCTTTCAACAGTTTGGCAGCGGTGAGTCCACTTATTCCTGCCCCAACGATCACCACCTTCTTTGAACGACACCCATTTTCCAGTCCATTTTTGGCAATAGCCACCAGTTCTTCATAGTCAGGGTCAATGAAGCATTTTTCCCACTTCGTCTCTATGCCAGGGAGAATCTGTAAACTTGGGACTACCACCAGGAGGAAGATCTGGAGGAGTACTAGAGAGAAAGAGATGGAAAGAAAACAGATGACACAAATGGTGAAGCAAACTCATTCTCTTAGACCACAGAGCTCAGTTATGTCATTGATATAATCCATCTGAGCTGTAGGGGGAGGCTAAGAGTCTCAGCTGTGGAGCTCAGATATATTAACAAACAAGGAGTTTTATTATGATCAAATGCACTGAGCATATAAGTTGAAAGCAGCAAAGTGAATACTCAGACCCTCACAGTTGTCTTATAAACTGTAAAATATCACATGGACTATTCAAACCACAATCTACCATTAAGGGTCCTGGCCCCACCCTCTCAAATACACTTAGATCTGTGTGTTCCACAGGGATCTAACAATCTGGGGGCTGGCCATTCTCAGAGGGAATGATGCAGGAGAAAATCATGTATAGTGGACACTGTGACTCTGAATGAGGTCTTCAATATTTGGCCTCATGAGCTGAATTGAGGGACCTAACGAGAGTCTGCTTTATGTCATTCAAAAACTCAGGTATGTTGTTCCTTTCCATTAGACAAAATAAATTTTTGTTTTTTCCATGATTCTCCCCTCATTGAGTGTGAAGGCGCTGTCTCTTCTGTTGAGCACAACTATGGAAGTGTCACATGGAGAAACGTGTGGTTCATCACATAATCAATTCCCACTCCACTTAGAGCTTTAAAAGATCAATTTAACCATCTAAATTCTATTGTATGGTTCAGAGCAACCTTAGCAGCACCCACACCACCCTTCCTTCCCATGCTAACATAGGTAGCATTGCCTGGCAAAAAAGGCGTTAACTTTATATCCCAGAGATCTCTGACTGCCCCTGTGGGCCACTGGCTGCTGAAATAAATATATCTTGCAAGACATGGCATGAAATAGCTTGATTTTTGTAAGGTTTTTCACACAGTCTGTCCTACGTGACATTCTCATAAGAAAACTAGGGAACTGTGGTTTAGGAGAAATGAATATAAGGTGGGTGCACAACTGGTTAAAAAACCCTATTCAAAGAGTAGTTTATCAATGATTTGATGTCAGTCTGGGAGGATGTATCTAGTATCCGACAGAGGTCTATCCTGGGTCTGGTACTATGTAATATTTTCATCAAAGGTTTGGATGATGGAGGAGAGCATGTGGGTATGAAATTTGTAGGTGTCACTAAGCTGAAAGGGGTTGCAAGCACTTGGACCAAGCTGGAAGGGGTTGCAAGCACTTTGGAGGACAGGATTGGAAACTGAAAATGATTTTGATAAATTGGAGAACTGGTCCAACATGAATAACAAGAATTCAACAAAGACAAATGCAAAGTATTGCACTTAGGAAGGAAAAATCAAATGCACAAACACAAAATGACTGACTAGGAAGTAGTCTTTCTGAAAAGGATCTGGGAGCTAATAGTGGATCACAAATTGCATGAGTCAACCATACCTGGTCCCAAGCCCGGCTGAAAAAGGAGGAGGGTTGGTGTCAAGCTGACAGCTGGCATTAAAAACATGGCATAAACTGACAAGAGGGATAGGACTCGGAGAGCTGACCCTATTTGATGGGACTGTTGCAAGGAAAAAGAAGAATGTGCTGCTGTTGTGAAAAGGCAAATGTCATTAACTGGAGTGTTGTATGTGTGACACGGGAGGCAACTCCTCCGCTCTACTTGGCTCTGTGGCCTCAACGGTGACCAGTATGAGGAACTACAGTCCAGAGAAGAGCAATAACAATGATAAGAGGTTTAGGAAACATGAGCTAAGAACATAAGAATGGCCAGACTGGGTCAGACCAAAGGTCCATCTAGCCCCATAGCCTGTCTTCCAACAGTGGCCAATGCCAGGTGCCCCAGAGGGAATGAACTGAACAGGTAATTATGAAGTGATCCATCCCTTGTCACCCATTCCCAGCTCCTGGCAAATAGAGGCTAGGGACACCATCCCTGCCCATCCTAGCTAAGAGCCATTAATGGGACCTATCCTCCATGAATGTATCTAGTTATAGTCTTGGCCTTCACAACATCCTCTGGCACGGAGTTCCACTGGTTGACTAGCTAAGAGGAAAGGTTGAAGGAATTGGGCATCTTTAGTCTAGAGAACAGAAGGCTGAAGGGGGACATGATAACCATCTTCAAATATGTAAAAGATTGTTATCAAGGGGATGATGAGCCATTGTTCTCTATATCTGCCAAGGGAAGGACAAGAAGTAATTAGCTTAATTTGTAGCAACTGAGATTTAGCTTAGATATTTGGGGAAAATGTGTAACTGTAAGGATAGTTAAGCACCGGAACAGGTTAACTATGTGGAATCTCCGTCATTGGAGGTTTTTAAGAACAAGTTAGACAAACACCTGTCAGGGATCGTCTAGGTTTATTTGTTCCTGCCTCAGCAGGAAGATGGACTAGATGACCTCTTGAGATCCCTTTCTGCCCTACTGTTCTATGATTTCTATGACAAAGTAGAGCATCTCTGAGCCTCCTTTAATTTGCACCAGTGACTGGTCTGGCAGACAGAGAGCCCCCAGATCAGGGATGCAAAATCTCCTTTTTCTCACACCCCTGACCAAGCTACACTCAATCCAAGCTTTGACTCAGTCCAAAAACTGAGCCGCTAATGATATGGAGGCCTATGTTCCAAGTTAGGGGACATATTTCAGGTCCCATTTCCAGTACAAAATGGACCTGTGTACAAACAGATCTGGGAACAAATGTATTCTAACTTTGTTCCCGACATGGTAGCAACTGTAGTGTAGACACAACCTTGTAGGTTCAGGGGAGAAATCCAAATTCCAAGAACCTTTCTGGAGAAATGAAAAATAATTTTAAAAGTACAAAGTGTAATTTTTCCGAGTGTTGGAAGAATAAGACACTATTTTCCCCCTAAAATCCAGTGCCCTTTAAATTCCCAATTCTATCTGAGTCCAACGCCATATATTTCAGAATCACTGAAAGTAACCTGAGTAACCCATCCCATCTTTTGAAATCAGAAATTGTTTATGATCACCGCAACCAGAAATATGTTTATGTAATGCATTTTCATAGGTGAAACCAGAAAGGAGTAAATTGAAGGCATTGATGCTCTCAATAATTACTATGTTCTTCCTCTGTAATTATCTACATCTTTTGCATGTTCTGTACGTGATTTGCTAAGATTTCCAAAGGGATGCGTGGGCTGGAGATAGGAGTTGCCACAACTGCTGTTTTTGCAATTAAATTACAGAACAGGAAATACTCTCTGTAGGTTAATTTCCATAGAGCTACATACCAAACAGCGATTAATTTGCAGAGGGTAGCTCTAGCAACAGGTTAGCAAGGGTAATCACTTCCAAAGCTCATCTGGGGCATGAAAACAATTTAGGGTGGAATTCGTCCTGGGTCAGAAAAGGTCCTACACACCACATGAGTTCCATGCTCCTGGTTCAGTTCCTAAAAACTACAGCTGTGTTGAGAAGGGTGTGGAACTCTCTGCACTGCATGGAACTCCTGGAGGAATCATAGACATGTAGGATTGGAAAGGGACCTCAAGAGGTCTTTTAGTCCAGTCACCTGCACTCAAGGCAGGACTAAGTATTATCTAGACCATCCCTGACAGGTGTTTGTCTAACCTGCTCTTAAAAATCTCCAATGATGGAGATTCTGCAACCTCCCTAGGCAATTTATTCCAGTGCTTAACCACCCTGACAGTTAGGAAGTTTTTCCTAACATCCAACCTAAACAGCCCTTGCTGCAATTTAAGACCATTGCTTCTTATAACAACCTTTAATGTACTTGGGACTTATGTTATACATTCATTTGGGATTTACTGATGTATTTGAAATTAATTTGCAGGCAAGTGGGAATGTTCACCCAAAGATGGAAAGAAATTTGTATCATGGTGATGACTTCCCCCTGAGCACCCAGCAGTAATCTTTGATCAAACCAAACCCCCTAACATTTATTTCAAATCATGCTCAGCCCCACCCAGTTGTGGGGGCTGATGTATGGCTCAGTAATTCTTCATATTGCTTTCTCCAATCTACCAACATTATTTTGCTCATCTGAAGTGAACCTCAAGCAGCTAATCCTCATAAATGCCCTGATCTCCAGCAAGCATCGGATGTTCAGTTCTACTACATTGCGAGGGGCAAATCAGAATTTTGACAAAGAACAAGATACCAGCACACTAAATACATTGCAGCTCTCGCAGTCTCCCCATGTTCTTCCTCTCCAGTCTCCTTCATAACCATACACCGTGAGTCTCTCATTAACCAGTCCCTCCAGCTAAATCCATGCAGTGTGGGTTTGGCATCAGTCCCATCCAAATTCCATGCCACGAAGTCAAGTATTTTGGACTATGGAGGAGTAACAGAAAAAGTCATGTGACTGCTAGAATCTTCCATCTAACATAAGTGAAGGCTTTGCAGATAAAAATTCCCCAGTGCAGAAATAAAATGAACTAATACTGGACACAAAATGGTATTTTTCCTTTGATTTTTTTTAAATGCACAGATTTCATTTTTTCCAAAAATTCTCATTGAAATTTTCTGTTTTATTGACTAAAAAGCAAGCAAAAAGTAACAAAAACAAAAACAAAAAAGAAGCCCCACAAATAATCATTTTTCTGTTGTTTCCAAAATATTTCGGTTTTTGAAAAAAAAATTCAGTTCTCATTTTTTCATTAAAAATGATTTTTATAGAAATAAAAATGTTCCATAAATTATTTTTCATATGATACATTTCCAGCAGCTGTAAAATTAACTTAGATTTCCACCTTCAGATTCTCAATCAGTTCCTCTCTATTAGTCTGAATCAAATCTAAAACAGCTGCCCCACAAGTAACTTCCTCCATCTCCTGAAATCCTAATTTGTCCCCAACACATTCTCTGTACCGGAGCATTGGACAATAAAATTGATCTTAATGTGTAGCTGAAGCCAAGTACAAACAAAAATACACCATTGGTGTTGTGTTCGCCAAATTCCACACTTAAAAAGGAGTAAAGGATTCTGGGAGAAAATCAACTGTAAAAGAGGGAGAAAAAGAAAAAGACAATGATGGTAACGAGAGGGAGAGAAAGATGTGAAATAATAAAGCTAATGGAATATCATCAGCTAACTGATAAAGTAAGATGAGCCCAAAAGGGCAAACTGTCCCATCCTTCTGTGCCCAGAATTGCAACCCATCACATCCCACTGCAAAAGTTCTAAGACAAGAAGTTTCACTCACAGAACCTGTCCATGTTTCAGCTGGCAGCTCAAGTCATCAATGAGCCCTGTCACTTTATACACTCCGCTAGTTCCTGGTAGGAACTGTTGGCTCTGAGCCTAATGACACTGAGATGGCTGTTATAGGCTCATAGGGCCTCTTCCTATGAATTGCTCAGCACAGCTTGTGGGTTACTCTGGATTGAATCACACATTGGCCTCGGGGGAAAAAATATGTTGGTATTGGAAGGCTCTGCCTCTGCAATCTTTTGCTACTGCCCTCTGAATCTGATAACTTCCCCCACATAGGAGGAACTGGAATTACTGGTGCAGGAGATCATAGGAACATAGTGCAATAGCACTCAGGACTGGAATACCGGCATTGAAGGGTTTGTGCTGTTTAGGAGAAATAGAAATAAAGGCAAAGTTGGTGGGATGACATTGTACATCCATGAAATGGTAAACTGTAAAGAAATACAACGTGATACTGTGGACAAAACAGAAACTGTTTGGATCAAAACCTTTTTGCTGAAGGATTGTAAATGAGGTTCTGTTCGGATAGCGTTATGGGTCTGCTATAGAAGCCCAGACCTGAGGAAAAACTCTGTGTAGCCCAAAAGCGTGTCTCTTTCACCAACAGAAGTTGGTCCAATAAAAGATATTACCTCGCCCACCTTCAGTCTCTTGTCTCTCTCATAGAACTCATGGGTCAGATTCCAATATGAATAGTGATCTCTTTAATATAATTAGAACAATAAATACTTTTGGAATTGTGTCATAATGGGAAACTTTAACTTCCTAGATATAGATTGGAAAATACATCCAACTAATAATGGTAAGGCTCAATTATTCCTGGATGTGACAGAGGACAGCTCTCTTCATCAAATCGTCACTGAACCAACAAGACAGGATGCAATTTTAGACTTCATTTTGGTAAATAGTGAGTACATCACAGATGAGCTGGTCATTGGAAATAACCTTGGATAGAGTGCTCACAGGTTGATTCAGTTTAAATTAAATGGAAGGCTAATCAAACCCAGATCATCAACTATGGACAGTGGAGGAGAGAGACCGGGTACATGGACTGATCACAGGATGACTGTGAGCCACCGGTGAGGTGGCTATGAAAAGGCAAATGTGGTCCTATGATGCATTAGAGGAGGCATTTCCAGGAGAGAGAGAGAGAGAGAGAGAGAGAGAGAGAGAGAGAGAGAGAGATAGTAT